CACACATTTGTTCCTGCATTATTTATGTTACATACACAGTTCAGTCATGAAACTCTTCCAAACAGCTGATTGGTTCTCTTAAAGGGTTAGTTCACCCTATATAAATTCTGTCAGTATTTACTCACCCTCATGTTGTTCCAACCCCGTAAGACGTTAGTTCATCTTCGGAACACAAATTAAGATATTTTTGATGAAATCTGAGAGCTGGATCACTCCTGTATGCTAGTACATAGGCTTCTTTAGAGATTGAAACTTCCTGGCCTCGAAAAGTTATTAAAGACATCGTTAAAATAGTCCAAGTGACTTCAGTGGCTCAATCTTAAGTTTATCAAATGACGAGAACACTTTTTGTGCGCAAAAAACAACAAAAATTGAAAGACTTATTCATTTACTTCTCTCTCTGCCTCAAGTCAGGTTACTAGTTTAATAGCGTAAGCACATGTTTAATAGCACATGACCAGCGTCGGCCAATAGTGAGTCTACGCGTGACGTAGCTCTACGCTAGATCGTAGATCACACTACTGTACGTTAACTGAGTAGAGGCCCATAGAGAAGGAAGTGAATAGTTGAAATAAAGTTATTTTTGTTTGTTTTCGCGCAAACATCAGAATTTTTATTTTTGGGTGAACTAACCCTTTAAAGCCGGCTAAATTTGCGCGTTTCCCAAAAGCATTGTTGGCCAACTATGATCGCAAATTCTATTGAACTCTAGGTAACGACGGGCCTTGCAACGATAGTTGGCTTTGGGAAACACACCCCTTTGATTGTTCTATCTACGTAACCGATTTATCTCCACCCTGAACTGGCTCAACTCAATGCAGCGCTGTGTGTGATTGATCCAGGCCCTCCTCCTTCCCCAGCACCACCTGCCTAGATCTTCTCGGGATTCTCCCGGCTTTCCTTGCAGCAGCTTGTATGCTATTCCCTGTATTTATGTGCCTGTTTTGACAGTAGCCTTCACTCATGCCTACCATATCATATCTAGTCCACCAAGGCAACGCCTTTGTACATTCCACTCTTATCAACAAATGATGTTTAATTCACTTCCGAGAGTTGTCATGATTGAACTGTATAGGGTACTATAAATGACCATAACAGGTATTAGGTACTGAATGATTATCATATTCATATACTATAGTATTGCTTCAAAGAGTATCATGATAGTATGAATACCATGAAGAGTGTTCATATCCGTAGCACTCTAAAGGTCGGAAAACACCATATTGCTCAATTCTGTCTCATTTCCCTCGGGGAGTTTGAGTTCCTTTCCTGGTTCTGTCAGCGTTGGGCCGACAGGTCATTTGTCCAAATGCCATGCGATGCTGAAAGCTGGAATAATCCAGGGTGGAATATAGAAAATGTTCTGTTATCAGGGAAGGGAATGCCGAGGGGGGGAAATGTGGGAGTCGTGTTATTTCCTGGAGTACAGTAGAGCTCTGCGGATCTTGTACATGTCTGGGTGGGAATATGTTGAGAGCTCAGGGAAGCAAGAACCAAAAACATGTTTGGCATCCAGGGCTGCGGTGCCAAGTTGTTCCTCTTCTCAATTTCAAGATCCTAAAAAGGGGCTGAGGAGATCCTGGACTGTGTCAGAACATGTCAGGACATCCCTCCTCATGTAAACAACTCCAGCGGGTCACTTCTGGCCGTTCTCACGGCACTCCTGTTTTCTCGTCTTAACTAGTAGTAAGCTGAGATTGTTTTTTTTGATGGCTGGTGCCGATATCTTACAGAGCAGGGGGGCCGATGGAATATTATACTGTATATGTAAGCAATAAGGTACGAGAGGCTGTGCTGTATCGTGAATAAGTAACGGTTGAAGGGCGTTGTTAGGCACGACACAAAGTGGAGTAACCCCTTCAGCCATTACTTATTCACGATACAGCACTTGCCTCGAGTACCTTATTGCTTCTATAAAATGGTTACCACACAATAAAAATATGAAAGTAAAAAAAATATGTATTAGTGCAACAGTGAAATCACTAAAAGTCTTCCTTCCGCTAGAAAAAAAAATAGTCCCTGACCATGAACAGAAACAACGTTCCAATGTGTAATATGCATGGAAGCTCAAATAAAAACCACATAGGAACTGCAGAGTTGCGCAGTGATGAATAGACGTGTTGGGTGAAGTGGTCATTGCTGTGTTATATCATAAATAAAGCACAGCTATTGACCAATCATAATCAAGGATTGGAAAATATATATTTATATATACTTCTTCAAGATGGCTGTGTACCTTGTCTTTATTATTACCAACGCAAAAATACAGCAAGGGTTTTAAACTCTACTTCCAGAAAATTAAGAACAATAAATATTGTGGCTCACTGGCACGCCTCAAACGCGTAAACATCAGGCTTAAATAAAATCCTGAGCTACTCGTAATTTCAACTTTGTGGTGGTGTTCATGTGTGTTCAACTCTTAAATACGATCTTTTTTTAATATGACTTGAACGCAGCAATAGAGCATCATAGCTTGAAATCAAGGACTACAAACTGTGCTGTCAAAATAAAAGTCCCTAAATCTAATCAAATTTAAAAATGCCAAATATCTGCTGATATAGCATATCCGTTGATCACATTTCTCAATCTGTTTCTCAGGTTCTTCCTCTTGCATAACACAGCAGCTCAGTACATATCGTTCCTCACCGGTTGAGTCATTTTCCACGCCACTCATTGGTCTGCTGTAGAAAGCCTTTTTGTTCGGAGATTTGTGTCAGAATAAAGGTGACAAAGCAGTCACAATTCACAGGAACACAATAATAATTGTGCTATGGGGCGGCTAAAGGGTATGAGTCACAATTTCTGAGGCACTTGCAAGTGTGGGAATCACAGCTATTTTTGGGAGTCATTATTGGAAATAAGTGGGAAAGTGTTGGGAAATACTGAAAACTCTATGGTTGAAGTGCTTGTTTAACTCTTCAGATCAGAGACCTGTCGAGCGCATTCATAAACGTGCGCTGGTTTTACCTGGGCAATGTGCCAGATCTGCATGAGTGACATCAGTGCTGTGGTAGCCCAGATATGCAGAAACCTACATGCACACGGATGGTTTCTGTGAGTGTGTTTGTGATTTTCCTGTCTGCTGTCTGTACGAGAGCTTGATGTAAGGGTGAGGCAGTGTGTCCCATTGAGTCACTGGTACCATGCAAATATTCTTAAAGCTGCATGCAAAAGTTATGGAAATCAGGCCGACGTTATATCTCTGTGGAATGAGCCGTAAGGGGAACATGCACTTGCACTAATACACACATATCTCTCTCTCTCTCTCTCTCTCTCTCTCTCTCTCTCTCTCTCTCTCTCTCTCTCTCTTGCTCTCTCTCCTCTTCTCTTTTTCTGCTTTTTCTGCTTTTTCCTTCTCCCACCAATGGAAATGTCCTGTTATTGTTTTGATAGAGCATGAATCATTATTGTTATTATTAAATCAAAATGATGGAGGGTGACCGGGGCTAGTTATGATGCGAAGACTACTTTTGATGAAATCTGTGAAGAACATTTTACAAAAAAGAGGCCTGTTTTAAAAACATTTACATTTTTGCTTTGTGTGACATTTATTGTTCATGATCATAGAACATTAAACCATTGTATTATGGATAAATATATGTGCGTTACTTTATTTTGTTTTGCCTTAAAGGGTTAGTTCACCCAAAAATGAAAATTCTGTCAGTATTTACTCACCCTCATGTTGTTCCAACCCCGTAAGACCTTCGTTCATCTTCGGAACACAAATTAAGATATTTAAGATATTAAGATCGCTCCTGCATACAGTCCATAGGCTTCTTGAGGTACTGGCTCTTGCTGTCCTCGAAAAGTCATTAAAGACATCGTTAAAATAGTCCAAGTGACTTCAGTGGCTCAATCTTAAGTTTATCAAACGACGAGAACACTTTTGTGCGCAAAAAAACAACAAAAATAACGACTTTATTTCAACTATTCGTTTATTTCTCCCTCTGCGCGAGTCAGGTTACTAGTTTAATAGCGTAAGATTCTGTTATTGTACGTCACACGCATCACACACACACATGACCAGCGTCGGCCAATAGTGAGCCTACGTGTGACGTAGCTCTACGCAATCACACTACGTTAACTGACTTACAGGCTCATGGAGAAGGAAGTGAATAGTTGAAATAAAGTCGTTATTTTTGTTGTTTTTTTGCGCACAAAAGTGTTCTCGTCGTTTGATAAACTTAAGATTGAGCCACTGAAGTCACTTGGACTATTTTAACGATGTCTTTAATGACTTTTCGGGGACAGCAAGAGCCAGTCCCTCAAGAAGCCTATGGACTGTATGCAGGAGCGATCTTAATATCTTAAATATCTTAATTTGTGTTCCGAAGATGAACGAAGGTCTTACGGGGTTGGAACAACATGAGGGTGAGTAAATACTGTTAGAATTTTCATTTTTGGGTGAACTAACCCTTTAATGACACAAAAATATGAAAATAATTGAATGAGAATTATTGGGAATTAGAAGACACTAAGGCCAACTATGATCGCAATTTCATAGTTGGCTTTGGGAAAAGGTATAAAAAACTAAAAGCAAAATGATGAAAACGAATATATTTATATTCTTATAGTCATGAAAATACTGTCACAATGCAAATAATAAGCATCCTAAAATCAACTTCATCAAGGTTGCATTAAACTGACAATAAAGTTTCCAAAAGCGTCTTTTTTTTTTTTTACATAAATACTGCTCTTTTTAACTTTTTTATTCACCAAAGTATCTTAAAAAAAAATCGCTACATTAATCAGCCCAAATATTTTCAACCCTTATAATAACAAGAAATGTTTCTTGATCATCAAATCCTCATGTTAGAATGATTTCTGGAGGATCATGTGACACTGAAGACTGGAGTAATGATGGGAATGATAGGAATTAATATTATTTTACAACATACTTATTTTAAATTGTTATAATATTGATCTTATGTTTCTCCTATTCATATAGTAAGTTTTTCTAATAAAGGTGTATGTGTGTGTGTGTGTTTCTGTCCATCCAGAAGAGTCGCTGTCTCCTCCCACGGGCCCCGTCCCCATGGACCTGCGTGTGGGCGAGCGTCTGGTGCGTCCGGGTTCGGACACGGCCTTCCTGTCCCCTCTGCACCCCCCTCTGCTGATCGGGCCCTTCAGCGCCCAGCACTGTTCCCAGTACAGCCAGTCGCAGCTGCAGCACATACAGGTACAGCGCATGTGACACAAGATGCCTTCATATCAATCCAGTCATACACTGATTTAAACAGCGCCTCCCTTATGTGATTTAGCCTATTAGCACACACTCCCGCCACAATCAACATCCTTATTGGTGCTGGAACGTAATTATCATGCTAAACAACAACACTACACACTAAAGAGTAGAAAAAAAAAACATAAAAGTTACCCTTTAAAACAGAATATGACGCTTTCTAAAATATTTACTCCTGTACCTTTTTCACAAAACAGAAAACAGAATTAATTTCTGTATAAACAGTAGCTGTATGTTCTTCTCTTTTTGTAGCAGTATAATATGGAGCAGCATCTACGAGACCAGGAACAAGCGAAACAACAGCTACAGCAACTCAAACACAAGGACAAGAGTCAACAGAGTGAGTGACACACACAGACTTACAGTGTACTTACTTAGCAACACTGCTTTATAACAATGCCGACACAGAGAGACTGCACACATTATGCTAGGCTAGGGTTGGGGTTATGTTGATTAGTAGGATAGAAAGTGTTCTTCTAGAAGAAGAGTTTTTGAAGTTTAAAATGAAGCACTTAGACTATTGATCACTCAAATGTGTCTAATGTGCATCTTTAGCCTCAAGAAAGTGTTCAGGTTAAGGTTCAAAAAGCAGACAATTGTACAAAATCTGCATGAACGGAATGTACCAAACAATGGAAAATGATTTGAGAAATGTATCAAGGTCACTGAGAAATGCTGTATTATGTTACGCCAATGCCCTCTTTAATAATACCTCAACTAAAACAGGGCTTTTTCAGGAAATGACTCTGAGAGTAAAAACAAAACTTTGTGGTTGAAAACACATGGGAGGAGTTTGGTTACCTCTGAACATGGGAACCCTGTTGTTCTATAAAGGTGATTTACTGTCACACTGCTGCTGGTGTCCTGCCAGTTACAGCAGTTACAGATCCTGCGGTAACATCCAGTACCAGACCATACCATCCAGTACCAGACAATGCCATCCAGTACCAGACCATATCATAAGCCCCTTTTCCACCAAAGCATTTTGAGAGCCGGTTCGGAGCCGGTGCCAGCGCGCGAACCAGTTATTTGTGTTTCGACAGCCAAAGAACCGGTTCTCGGCCAGGAGAACTGGTTCCAAAGCGGCACCAACTCTTTGCTGGACGAGAACCGTTCTTTTACCACGTCATGCTTACGTCGGGGGCTGGGGCGGGTTTAGATGTGTTCTAAACATCTTTTCTGACCATAATAAAGGATCGCAAAGCCAAGAGAAACATTTGCAGAAACACGATGGAGTCCGCCTTTGTAATTGTTATGCTGGAAGCTAACGCAAGTGTTTCTATTTTTGTAATTTTTTTTATTGAAGACATTATAAGCAAAGAAGAAAAGTCACAATATAGAACAAATAAATGGAAATAAAAAAAGACACAATTACAGGGGTACATAACTTATCAGAAAAAATTACATAACAAACGAAAAGATTAAAAGACTTACATATTTCAATTGTTTTTAAAGCTTTCTTGGTATACGAGTTAGAGATAATCCGAAAGTAATGTTGTATTTGCAAGCGTTTCTAGCTAAGACGTATGGCGACGCACACAGTGATGTAACGACGTCGTTCCGTGTGCGCTCTAGTCAGTGGAAAAACAAATAGGTTCTGAAGCGGTTTGCAAGTTGAACCAACTCCGAACCAACTTTGAACCAGCACCAGTTCCGAACCAGTTCTTTTTTTTTTTTTTTTTGGTGGAAAAGGGGTAATACAGTACCAGACAATGCCATCCAGTACCAGACCATATCATACAGTACCAGACCATACCATTCAGCACCAGACCATGCCATCCAGTACCAGACCATGCCATCCAGTACCAGACCATACCATCCAGTACCAGACCATGCATCCAGTACCAGACCATGCCATCCAGTACCAGACCATACCATCCAGTACCAGACCATGCCATCCAGTACCAGACCATACCATTCAGCACCAGACCATGCCATCCAGTACCAGACCATACCATCCAGTACCAGACCATACCATCCAGTACCAGACCATGCATCCAGTACCAGACCATGCCATCCAGTACCAGACCATACCATCCAGTACCAGACCATACCATCCAGTACCAGACCATGCCATCCAGTACCAGACCATACCATCCAGTACCAGACCATGCCATCCAGTACCAGACCATGCCATCCAGTACCAGACCATACCATCCAAAGTACCAGACCATACCATCCAGTACCAGACCATACCATCCAGTACCAGACCATGCATCCAGTACCAGACCATGCCATCCAGTACCAGACCATACCATCCAGTACCAGACCATGCATCCAGTACCAGACCATACCATCCAGTACCAGACCATACCATCCAGTACCAGACCATACATCCTTTACCAGACAATATCATACAGTACCAGACCATACCAGATCATGCCATCCAGTTTTTGTAGCATTTTTGATAGTTACCATATTTACATGTTACTCCATGGATGGATGGATGGATGGATGGATGGATAGCCAGATATGCAGGAGGAGAAATAAATAGACAGAAAGAGAGACAGAGAGACAGACAAACAGATAGATAGATTTACTCCATTGTGATCATGACGGTCACGTCATTCCAGAGTGTCATGTGTCATGCTGCAGCGCTTGGTCACGCTGGCAAAACATTAAAACCACTTTTTTTGTTTATTTTTCATTGAACGAGAGCATGCATTTTCCTTGTGAGTCACGTTACACTGTTAGAGTTAAACGACATCTACAGTGTGAAACCTACTACCACCAGGTTTGCTGATAAACTGCATTAAGCAGAGAATGATTTGTTGTAACACCCAATACTGTTCTTGTAAAGTCTAAAGATATTCTGCATATCCTGCAGTCAGAGGTGTGTAGGCGTCACACAGGTGTCTTCCGCTGATGATAAATCACTGCAGCTAGAGGCTTTTATCACAGTTGATAAGATTGTTGTGAGAGAAAGTAGCTGCAGAGAAGTAAAATTAAATTGAGTTGTTCAAACAGTAACCGTGTCAATATTGATCTTATTGGTTAGAGCCACTATGACGTGTCCGCCCTGGAAGGACAGGGAGGCACTGAGTCAACACACAGTTTCCTTCCCTCGACCCCAGAGCAACCTCGGACACACAGCTGAACCACGCTCACAGAAGCAGCGCTGGCAGGTTTATGTGGGACAAAACTGGCATTTTAAAACGGTTCAGTTTTGACTAAACTAAACTGAAATACTCTCTTTATTAAATAAAATGTAAAGTAAAATAAAACAGAGAATAAAGAGATCATAAAAAAATACAATTAAATTCAAATTATTATTATAATGAATTATTACTATTTTCGATTTAATTGGCTTGATTGTGTGCATTCTCTAAAAATATTAAATATTAGTAAAAAAATAAATGTCCTTTAGTTACATAAAATGACCCAGACCAGAGAAAACTAAACTAAACTGAACTAAAATACTAACTAACTAAAGGAATAAAAATAAAATAAAGACTTATTTTAAAAAATAAAGACAAAAAATACATAAACAGACTTTTTTTTTTCATTTCCACTTTTAAAAAAAGTGGTTTGGCATGATTTCATTGGCTGGTTGTAAATATTGAGGGATAAACTATCTAAACGTATTAAATTAAATTATATTTCAATAATAATATAAAAAAAATGTAAGTACCACCTGACAAATCCTTTTTTGCAATCTCAAAATCTTTGCAAGCTTTGTTTAAACCAATTAAGTGAAACATTGTCATTTCATTGGCTGTTTGTATTGATTGACAGGTGCTGTGGCCAGTGCGTTGGTGAAGCAGAAACTGGCGCAAGTGATTCTGAAGAAACAGAAGCAAGCGGTCCTGGAGAGGACGAACTCCAACCCCCTGAGCACCGCATCGGTGGCCTACCGGTTAGAAGCGACTCTCACTGCCGCCCACAGCTGTCGAAGTTGTGATCCATGTGCTTATTTTCATCTTTTGTGTTCTGACAGGGAGTTGGTTCCAGATCCCAGCGCTCCCCTACAGTCGCTCCTGCCCTCCACCAAACCAGCCCTCATAGAAGGATGCGACGAACCGACGAACCTGAGACGAGCACGTACGTCACCCTCCAACACACGCACACACCTGAGAGCAGGAGGCAGGGCTGGTCGTTCAGCAGGTGTGTGTGTGTGGAAGCATTCCAGTGCCGCACTCACACTCCCAGCGCCTCGCTCTGCCTCCAGGCCGCCGCTGTTAACAAGGCCTTGCTCAACCTTCTCATTTACCTCTGAAAGACGAGAACACTCCCCTGTCAGCCAGTCATTATGAAATAATAACTATGACTGGACGTCCTGTAAAGCCCAAAGTATACTTGCTTGTTTACGCATACTCTAGCCTATCATATGCTCCATTCTCCATTGATGGAGTGCACAAACACATGCTCTCTAGAGAGTTCTTTGACCAGTGTCTTCGCTATTTTTCTCCAGAAGTCATGATGTCTCTATTCTTCTTAAGGCGAGACACGGCAGGCAAAAACATCGTTTTTTTTTTCCACTGGTCAATTTTGGGATATTTGACTACAATAACATGTATTCTTTCAGACTTGTGTTGAAAAAAAGTCCGAAATACATATTTAGGTCTTTATTTTACTACACTTTGTCAGTTTGCGCCTGTAGATTTCTCATAAATTCAACAATAGTTGCGTTCTAAATGATCGCGCTGCTCCGCGATCGCTGCATACACCCTGTCATCACATACAAAGCACATCTCTCTCCTTTCCAATGCTGTCAGGTCCAAATATGGTCATTTCCTTTTAATCAACATCCAATCGTGGAAGCAAAAGTGGGGATTTGTTTACTTCGGGGATTAACGTGATTCGTCAATCGTCACATGGTATGCTTTGACGCTTGCTGATTTGGTTTAGCTTTCCGCGGGACTTTCTGAATGAATGAATGAAAACGACTTCACGTCAGTCATCGAAAAGATTACAGCAGTTGTCACTTGCTAAGGGGAAAAGGAAAATTAGTGATGTATTACCCTGTGAAATGCCCTCGGGAAGCGCATCTGAACGCAAGCTGTCGATGGGAAGCCAATCTATAAATAAAGATGAAGTTGTTTTATTAAGTTCTCAATTTTCATGTAAATTGTTATAAACAATAACTTGGCCAGTTATTTTGCTTGTTAGCAATGTTTTCATGTAGAAATGTGTGGAATTTTAGAATATACATTTTTAAAGCCCGTTTTCTCAAAATGACTTTTTTTCTCATACTCAAAGTCTGAAATCTCCACTTCAGTAGCACCTATATACACCAAACTTTCCAGTCATGTACCTAGTTATATTATGAAGACATTTACAGAGGGATTTGTAAATATATTATTCCTAGCCTGATTTATGTAACATTTTATCCCAAAAAACATGGCGAAAATATTTTTTTTAAGACTATTGATGGTATATTCTGATTTACAGGATAACAAAAGTAGATATCCATAAATCATTCTGTAATTTTTTCCCCATCTATTATATGAACACAATGAAAAAAAAAATTGAACCTGGCTTTATCCAATAATCAGATTTCGTTGTTTTAAAGATATGCAAATTAGTGCATATTTAATCAGATGATGCCTCATTTGCATATTTAAACATTAAATTACATAAAACTTGTAATACATTTTTTTTTCTCATCTTAATGTAGGTAATCAACTGGGAAAGTTTCATGGTGATATCTGCTAGTTTAAAATTTTACCCTATTCACCTGTAGTGTCTCGCCTTAACTTAACTAAAGTTGCGGCTCTCCTCCTCACACAAGCGCTTGTCAATGTTGCAGTCTCGGGTATTTTTTTGTTGTTTGTTAGTGTCTTTGTCTACTGTAAAACAATGGCCCGGGCCAACTGAGTTATTAAAAATGTGCGACCACCAGTGTGTGCAAAGTATGTGCGTTTCCAAAAATTGTCGCTTAAAAAAATCAGTACTATTCAGGAGATGATATGTGCATCATGCAAGGGACCATCAGCTGTAAGTCGACCCTCACAGACACGTAAAAACCATAGGCTGTAAAAAAAAATATGGACGTAGTGTCCGTGAAGTCACCCGTAGTTTTCTAAAGACTGATTTTGAAGCTCAAAGTGGGCGGAACCGGACGTCGCCATCTTGGCAGCGCGTCACTCCCGGATAACCAGGAACTGTCAAAGAGGCGGGATTAGCTGAGGTGAAGAGACGCTAACAGACAGCAGAGCAATCCACCTGTCAATCAAGTGGCCACGCCCTTAATTATGCAGAACTTTAAGGCTTAATATAATTTAAACAAATGAGTTACAAAAAAAGTTGACCCCCCTCACAGTTAGCTATATAGACCAAAACCACTTTTTGCTCCAGGCTGTAAACATATATTGCTGTAAAGTTGGGCGTATTAACATGATACAACTTTTATGTGATTGACTCTCTTTGAGCCTCTAGTGGCCGGTAGATGAATTGCAGCTTAAGTCACTTCCGTGTTGGATTCAAGAGAGAGACCGAAAGGTTGCCGCTTGGTAAAAACTGAAGAATACTTTGGGCTTTATACTCAAAAGTTATATATATATATATATATATTGCAGCTTAAGTCACAGCAGATTTTGTTTACACACTGGGTGTAACCTTTCGCGTCCGAGACCGTGGCACCCGTTCAGAGTACCAGGGATGTGTGGGTTGTGTAAAAGTATGGGTTGGGTGGTTCATGTCTATGTGGGGAGGATGGGTGTATATATATACATATATATATATAGTTGTTTTAAACTTGTGTATTAGTGCTAAACAATCATCACTGTTCTAATTGCTCATTCTTAGTTTTAAGGATTTGCTCTAAACCCATAACTGTAAAAGGCCTGTTCACAGCAACACAAATTGAATCTGGTTTTTGTATGTGATTTGTCTGTCCAAATCGATGCGTTATAAAACAGAAGGCGGTCTGAAAGAAAATGTAAACTCACTCTGTGACAGTAGGTGGCGCTTGTGGAAAAGCAGAAAAACCCCAGTTCTGGATTCTTCCTCGCTTTAGCAAAATAGTCTGTTAACTTTCACAAACTACTCGTAGTTTTATCTAACAGCAGCAGGACGGAGCATGTGACCAAAAACTTGAATCCCATTGGCTAGACAATTTTCTTTACAGTGCGATGGAATATAACACCTCAAAACGATCATAAAATTGTGTGTGTGTCGATCTGAACAGAACTGCCGTTATTAAAATGTTTATCGCACTAAAGTTTAGCACTGAATTTTCATCTTGTTACGTTAGTAACCGCATAGCATCACCTGGCAACCAATCACAACAGCCTTCCACTGGCAAACACCACTCACAAGTTATATTGTGACTATCATTCAGTCTTCAGTGTAGGACAGAAAATGTTGCAGAAGTTTTCAAGGAGTCCTACGCATCTGTCAGGATCACTCTGTGCTCGATAGTCAAACATTTAACATGATAACCACAAGATGCTGTGCGGAAGAGTGTCATTTACTGTTGAAGTTGAGTAAGTCCAGCTGTGGAGTTACGGTTTTCAACATGTCCTCTCCCAGAACTTAAGGCTGATGGTGTTAAGTGTGTTTTTAAAGGACTAAAACAATTAGTAGGAAGTAGAGGAGAGATTTCGGAACCTTTGTCTTTTCTGAACCAGCGACAAAAGCGTTGAGCTGTACCTGTGCGATCAAAGGAAGTAGTTGCATTTAAATACATTTGCATTTAAATAGTTATAGGTCAATAGGGATGTGCAAAACTACCTCTAATCAACCAATCGATGGGTCATTTGAATGAGTAGTGGACTACTTGGTCTTAAAGGGATAGTTCACCCAAATAAAGATCTCTCTAATACATTGCTACTTTTAAACGGCGCAGTGATGACACAACACATCGTCCCTCAAAGTAAAAGAAAAATCATGTTTATTGAACAAACAAACAACAATTGAGAAGTACAGTAGATGAGCTAGCCGACAGACTACTATACGACCCAAATTGTAAACCTATTGTTTTTTTTGTTGTTCTTTCTTGTTCGCAGGGTCAGAGCCCAACCTGAAGGTGAAGCACAAGTTAAAGAAGCACCTGAACACCCGGAAGAGTCCGCTGACCCGCAAAGAGAGCGCGCCGCCCACCGTCAAGCACCGCGGCCCTGACGCGCTTGGTAACTAAACCGCCATTCACCAGGGCGTATTCCTCAACACTCAGTCACTTATTCACAACTCTTACACAGTTCTTGGCACAGCAATTTGTTTCCCATTCAAAATGCACTGAAACACTTCATTCATGTCTCAAATCAACTCATTCTTCCGTAAAGATTTTCACTCAACAGTTTTGCAGCTGACCTTATTTCATATGCGTTTGTAGGAGTTTCCCTTTCAGACGCAAAATGAGAGTGAAGAGTATTTAAAGTCCCCTTGTGGTGAAAATCAAGCTTGTAATGTTGTTTATATGTGGTGTTTTTAATGCACTTTAAGACAAACCATGTGGAAATTCAAAAGTCGACAGCATTCCTGAGTATTTTCTCTTTAAAACTGCAGTGAACCACTTTTTGAAATCGCTGGTGTTTCTGACGTCACAAACTACCTTGTAACCAATCAGATCCACATGAGTGAGTGGAGGCGGGGCTCATTTGCATATTCATAGATCCACGTTTACTAAATACATTCAAGCTATTTTAACCTTCAAATGGTCTTCGTTTCCTGTTTACACTTCTGGGCTCAAACAATTGATTGAGTAATTGTACAAAAAATATACATTTTTAATCATACAAATAATATATCATTTTTTTGGTTTACTTCTCATCTATTCATTAATGCTGTGTTTTTGGATATATAATGTACTTTTGTATCCATATACCACAAAATTCCTCAACTACACCATTAGCTTGCATATGAAATATCATTTTTTTTATGATACATTGCATTTATGCTCTAGTACTAGGCCTTCATTTCTGTGTGAAAATTTTCAGATTTATGCCAGATTTTTTTTTTTTTTTTTTTTGACACATGAAGAAAATATATTTAGTTTTTTTTTTTCACATTTCCCATTCATTTCAATGTGGGGTCAATTTTTTTTACATAGCGTCAGAACAACTGAATCAAGCCCATTTTGTGTTTGTGTGTGTGTGTGTGTGTGTATTAGATAATGTATGAAAAGTCCCAAAATCTTATTCCACTTAGATGAAGGGAACCTTTTTTTTTTATTAAGTAAAAGTCAATTGGGGTCGTGTAGACCCCATGACCCGATTGAAGGCTACGCCATTAAGGAAAAACATTTTAAATATGTCATTTTGGTGATCAAAGATGAGTTTACAGAGGGACTTTAAATGAATTAAGTACACAATAGTGAATTTTTTCACTAATATTTACTGCCCCAAAAAGCACATTTTCACCCATTTTGCGCTTGACATGACTGGATTTGCTCATCGTCAGTAGATCACGCGCGGACCTTTCCGCTCCCATCGGTGCTTTTATGGGACTGACCGCTCATGCTAATTTGCCCTGTTTAGTAAACCTGGCCCTTAGACTGCAGTTCCGCTCAGTGTGTGATGCGTTTTGAAAAAGTGACTGAAGTAAAACTTGTGTGTTCCTCTCAGACTCGTCGCCCAGCAGCAGCAGCACTCCAGTGTCGGGCTGCAGCTCCCCGAACGACAGCCTGCCCAATGAGAACGGGGCGCTGCCCGCGGCCGCCAGCCTGTGCCATGAGGTAACGGTCCTCACACTCCCCAATCACACTCCTCAGGTGCGTCTCGGCTCCCTTATAATGGGACTCATGCTAATGCCATTCCACATCCAAACAATTATGAAAAATGACTCATTTTGTAATAACGCAGTCAGTTTAAGTGAACTTCTCCCTGTTCTTAAAAATACAATCAGTTGCAGAAAGCCGAACACACACTCACACACTAACACACACACCCACGAACACCGTGGCATGATGGGACAGTTCTTTAATATTGCTCTGGTGGGAGTTGTTTGTGCTCGACAAGGCTTGTTTCAGGAGGTTTGCGCCGCCCTTTGGCATAATGACATGTTTTAAACAAAGACACTGGAGAAGGACAGCTGCAGGCAGCTGCCAGGACACCCAATCTCCCGTTTCCATCCACAGCCTCCTCCTCGCTTTAGTACTCTACGCTCCTCCATTTTTGGGCTTGCATAAATGCAGGAGTCTCTGATGGGTCGCACGCGGGAACCCCGTCCGCTCGCACGCAAGAGCTGATCACGCTCACAGACCGACACGCAGAGCTGCTGTAGGGGACTGTATTAGCCCTATGGACATTTATCAGATTTATGACGGCATTTTTCAACAAAGTATCATTAATACTTGAAAAACATTCTCAAGTGAAATTTCATTTATGGCTGACAGTTATAAAACGAATCAACATCAAATGTAAAGGTAGCTGTAATTTATACGCACAAATAATGCTTTAAAAATATGTCATAAAATAAATATAGAAAATCGTATATTATAAAACATGCACGAAAAATCCTTTGCTGCAATAAATTACAAAATATATAATAAAATAAATATATAAAAATATATTATTAAATGTTATATGCACAAATAATGCTTTTATCAAATATATAAAAAAAATTATGATGAAATAAATATGTGAAAAAAACATAATATGCACAAATAATAGTTTGCTACAAATTTTTTTAAAAAATATGTTAAAAGAAATGTATAAAAATATATTATAAAACATGATGTGCATGAATGATGCTTTGTTATATTGCATGTGTATATATATAATAAAATAAATATATAAAAATATTAGGGCTATCAAACGATTAATCGTGATTAATCGCATCCAAAATAAAGGTTTGTGTTTACATAATATATGCGGGTGCACTGTGTATAATTATTTTATATAAATATAAATACACACACATGCTTAAGAAATATTTTCATGTATATACTGAATATAGATTTATATATAATTTATATTATATATAAATATTTTATATATAAAAAAATATTTTTTTCTTAAATATACATGCATGTGTGTGTAATTATACGTATATAAAATAATTATACACAGTGCACCCACATATATTATGTAAACACAAACTTTTATTTTGGATGCGATTAATCGCGATTAATCATTTGACAGCCCTAAAAAATATATAATATAAAGCATTATATGGATGAACAATGCTTTGCTACAATAAATGTAAAAATATATGCTAAAGTAAATATATAAAAACATAAATTATAAAACATGATGTGCATGAATAATGCTTCACTACAATACATTAAAAATATATAGCAAAATAAATTTAAAATAAATTATATTATAAAACATGGATGAATAATGCTTTGCTTCATTAAGGTAAAAATATATCATAAAATAAAAATATACATAGTAAAACATATGTACGAATAATGCTTTACTTGAGTAAATTAAAACAAATATATTAAAATGTTTAATAATGATTAAATACAAAAAAATATGTTAGATTATGCAAATGTCTACGGTCTACTTCTAGATTTCTACTTCTACAACTAGATTTGAATGAAATCACTGATCCAAGTGTTTGAGTTTGCATTAAGTGTGTTCAGCTCATTTGAGTTTTTTTCATAATATAAACCAACATATTAGCAGCTTTGGGTCCTGGGACGTGTGATGGGTCACTATAGTGTCTGACCACCACTTTGTCTAAAAGAGAAAATATCACATGGCAGACAACATGAAATATCAGTTATTTGCCTCTCTGATAGCGGTTTAATCTGTGTGTGTGTGTGTGTGTGTGTGTTTCAGGCTCAAAGGTTGCTTTTGCAGGACGGGTCTCTCGCTCACTTCACAGTGCAGGATCCGTCCAGTCTGCCCACCATCACGTTAGGCCTCCCCGCCAACACCAAGGTATCGCAGTCGCCATCATTCAGCCCTGAACCCGTCCTGAAAGCCCACCTTTGACCTTTAATTTCATTACAAATATAGATTTGAAGTTCACCACAGAGTGCACATTCAATACAATCAAGCACACTTTTTTCACAAGAATTTAACACCCAAATTACATGTCTGAAAAACATAACATGCATGAAACGATTCGAATTTGTATAATTTCGGACGGTTCAGATGGTTATAAGTCAATACAGCATTCCAGCCTTGTTGAATATGAAACAATATGGGATCGGATTGAAAATTGCGACGCGATGACAAAACTACATTGCTCACATTATAACCAACAAAGCTGTCAACACTGCAAGCTGCACAACATCTGTACAGGGGTGTAGGCTAGCGGTCATGCTAACAGCGCCAGGGAAAACTCACGTCAACATTAAAAACAACACTTTCAAGTTTAAAGTCGCCCACAAATGAGCGTAAGCCTCGGCCAACTAACATAGGAGCAAGTGAAATAAAAGTACAAACGTGTTGCTTTCCATAATTAACACATTTAGCTTCGACATCATGCGTTTACACAACACAGAGCCAAAATTGTTTATTGAACGAAATTTCATTTTGATGGTTTCATGCTCTTGGCACCCAATAATTCGCCACCTAAAACTCATATTTTATGTATTCTGGTTCATATTTTCTCATGAATGACTTGCATTTAGCATTTTTTTTTCTACTTAAGCCAGAACAGATCCGAGACCCATTCAGAACCACTGTAATGTTGTTAAATATACAGTTATTCAGACACCTTCAACATTTCTCACATGATCACAGTTTTATTCTCTATAATTTAGAAAATGGTGATAAAATATAACAAGAGTTCAGATCAGATCAGTTGATGTTTGACTGGTTTTGTCCGTCCTTCTGTTGGACTCTCACAGATGAATTATGATGAATATCTGTCAGAGTTTAAATTTAACTACACAATTAGATAATGCCAATATAGGTCAAACAATCACCAAGCAATGCTTCATTGTGTTCAGTCTGTGTGTAAAAAAGGTCACATTAGCAATTAGAGAAAAATACTTCAGCAAAACAAGTGTCTGAATAACTTTTGGTCCCAAATTTTTATACATTTTACTGTATTAAGAATGTTTGGGTGTAATATCTCACAGTTGACTTTATTTTGCAATCCTCACTTACATAAATGAACTATAGTGTCCTGCACCCACTTGTAAAACAGTATCAAAAATGATATCTGGCCGTGTGTCTGCAGGCGGAGAGCGAGATGGGCTCACTGAAGCTGGGTCGTGTGCCGGTGGGACCGGGCGCTTCTCCGCTGCTGGTTCCTCTGGGTGTGGAGGAGCAGACGGGACAGCTCATGCAGCCCGTGCTCATCCTGGAGCCCTCTGGACTCGTGCACGCCCCGATGCTGGCCGGTAAGATCTGCAGGATCAGCCTGAGGAAATGCCACTCTAGAACCAGGAGCTTGATGTGTGCGCCATCTAGTGGCCACTCCTTCACATGACAGGGAATAGCTGTTGGGAGTAAAATATTAGTTACAAAATGATAGTTAAAAAATATTTTTAGAATATAAAGGACTAATGTTTTTATGTTGTTTAAAAAATATATATTTTAGATTGGATTTATCGTATATTTACAATAGTGAAACTTTATTTTATTTTATTTTATTATTTTATTGTATTTTGTGTATTAGCAACCAAGCACTGGACATGCATTAATTCAGCAAGAATACATTAAATTGGTCAAATATGACAACAAATGTATTTATAATGATACATAAAATTTTTATTTCAAATACATACTGTTCTTTTGATCCATTTATGCAAGAATCCTGAAAAGGTATCACATTTTCCATAAAAATATGAAGCAGCGCTTTCAACATTGATAATAATAATAATGAATGTTTCTTGAGCATCAAACTCATATCAGACTGATTTCTGAGGGATCATGTGACACTGAAGACTGGAGTAATGAAGATAGATAGATAGATAGATAGATAGATAGATAGATAGATAGATAGATAGATAGATATATTCACATAGAAAACAGTTATTTTAGATTGTTATAATATTTCACAATATTACTGTATTAATGCAGTTTTAGTGAGCATAAGATACTAGATACCATGAAAAAAAAAAAACGTTTAAATGGTAGTTTAAATAATAATAATATTTTTAAATAGATTATTATATTTATACGATTTTAATAATCCTCTTATTTCTTATTTTATGTAAACAAAAAACTAAATATTAAAAAATGAGACCATTAAAAATATAAACATGTATTGCAAATCTGTATTTTTTATGTTTAGAATTCACCCGGCGTGTTCACAGTTCATGACTATATGCTAAAATTGTTCTATTTAAGCCATCGGGGATCGTTTAATGTGTTTATTTTCTAGTTTCGTGTGATCTGTGGCATGATATTTTGACATCTAGCTTGAATATTATGCTTTCATCTGCTGGAATTGTAAGCAGATTTGCCTGTGATCAGTTCCAGGTCTGGGTCCCGTTCCTCTGCAGTTCAGCGCGTCTGGTCCTCATAAGCCTCTGAGCCGCACGCGCTCGGAGCCGCTGCCCCAGAGTCCCCGGGCCCTCCACCCGCACCCTCACCTGCTCCAGCACAGCGCTCTGGTCCTCGAGAGGCTCAAACAGCAGACGCACCTGGGCAAGGTACTGACCTCGAGACACGTCTCTCTCAAATCACAATTATTTGCTACGATTACACGTTTGCTAACTGTAAGTTATTTTGCAACTACATGCTAACTAACACTCATTAGAGCATCAGTAGACTGTTAGGATTCAGGTTAGTAGAATAAATACTTAACTAATGTTAAAGACATTGGGCCCTATCATACAACCATTCGCGACGCAAGTGTGTTTTGCTAGTTTCAGCCTGACGCAGTTATCATTTTCATGTCCTGCGCCACATTGTTTAAATAACGAATGTGTTTGCGCCCATATGTGCGCTCATGGTGCTGGTCTGAGAACAAGGTGTGTTCACGCACATTGTTGGCACGTTGATATTTTGAGGCGACGGAAATAGACTTTAAAATGAAATAACACAAAAAAAAATAGGTAACACTTTATAATAACTGCACACTATTAATCATTAGTTAAGCATGAGTAAACAGTTAATACATCATTTATAAAACATTAATAGACATTAATATGCAGTTTATAAATACAGCTATACATGTTTTTTATTGATTTATAAGCATATCTATAATGCGTTTAATGATTGTATTTTCATACTTTGTTAATGATCAATTAATAATTTCTAAATGAAGTATAGCATTATTTACAAACCAGTTGTTTAAGAGTTGTCAGTCATTCATAAGACCACTTAGAAAGTGTAAGTAAATGTAGTAAATAGAGGTAGTTATAAAGCATTTATTAGTGGTCAGTTAACTATTTTTGTGAGCTAATCTAAAGTGAGGACTATTCATGCTTTGTAAAGCATTTATAAAGGCGATTTAAAGACTCGTCAATCTTCTAAACAGTCAAATGTAACAAACACAACGCAGTGATACAGAACATAGAAATATTTAACAGCCTTTAAAAAATGCTTTACAAGGCATGACTAGTCCTCACTTTAGATTAGGTCACAAAAATAGTTAACTGACCACTACTAAATGCTTTATAACTACCCAAATTAATCCTTAATTACAGCATTAATACATGTTAATAAAGCATTTATTAACACATTAAGTAACCATCACTATATGTCTGAATAATAAGATGTATGAATGTACATTTAAATAGTTTATTAATCATTTACTTACTCGCTCTAAGTAATCGTATGAACCACTGAAAACTCTTAAATAACTGGTTAATAAAAAATGCAATTCTTCATTTAGAAATGATAAATTGATCATTAATAAAGGATAAAAATACAATTATTAAACAAATTATAGATATGCTTTTAAATCAAGAAGAAAGCATTTATAGCTGTATTTATGAACTGCTTATTAATGTCTATTAATGCTTTATGAATGATGAATTAATGGTTTACTCATGCTTAACTAATGATTATTAGCGTGTAGTTATTATAAAGTGTTACCAAAAAATATTGCGGCATTGACTTTAGGACCAGGTCTCAGTTGGTGAATGGCACAATATGTTTTTGTTATTTAAATATCGTTTTAGTAAGGTGCGGGTCCACAACACACGTACACTCTGCTTATTACACACACAGGGATGACCAGCAGCACACAAACATGCTAAATATTAAAAATAAAAGCACTACAATGTAAAAGATGAATATTGTGTACATAAAGATATGGTGGAATACGGCTTGTCCCGTAGATGCTTTAACCTCACGCACGATCAGAGCCGTTTCCTCTCTGAAGAAGCGTTCAGTCTTCCCGCTTACAAATCCCGCCATGACGCGAGTGGCTGGCTTTACTGGCTAAACTGGCTTTTAAAGTGCATGGGAGATGAGACTCTGATTGGTTTATTGCACTTTAAGCCCAAAACACACCCATCACTCATTAAGAGAATAGGAACAACACGTATAGATCATGCACCGGGTGCGCCGACCATTTTTCCCGTCGTTAAACTTGCAAAAGTGGATTCGGACTTAGAGCATGGGCTTAGATCGTTAAAATAGGGCCCTTAACCTTATTGTAAAGACGTACTCAGCATTTTAGGACAGTATACTACAGCATACTATAGTAATTGACATCAAAAGATGTGTGTGTCCTCCAGCTCATGTCGAAGTCCAGCGAGAAGCCTCGTCTGCGGCAGATCCCGTCGGAGGACATGGACTCAGAGGAGGGGGGGCCGTCAGCGGGGGACGCGCACCAGGGCCGGATCAGGGTCGAGTCACAGCGAGAGATGGAGAACCAGGAGGAGCACATCAACCTGCAGCACACACTCATCCTCAACCAGGTCAGAACAAGAATACGCCACGCGAGCTCTGTTCAACAGCAAATGTAAAATAAGAAAATTTGAATAGTCCAATGGTTGTTTATGGGTGAATTTCACAAAAACACATCTGTGTAAAAAAGTCTTTGTTTTTTAAATACGAGACTTATTTGAACAATATTATGAAACATTATTAAAATTGAACATTTTAAAATACTGTTTTCTGTGTGAATATATTGTAAAATGTGATCAAAGCTGAATTTTCAGCATCATTACTCCAGTCACATGATCATTCAGAAATCACTCTAATATGTTGATTTGATGCTCAAGAAACATTTTTTTATTATTATTATTAATGTTTTAAAAAGTTGTGCTACTTCATATTTTTGTGGAAACCATGATACATTTTTTCCAGGATTTGATTTGAATAGAAAAAAAATATAAATCTTCTGTAATGTTATGCATCCTTGCTGAATAACAGTATTAATTTCTTTTTTAATTTCAGTATTAAAAATCTTAAACTGACTCCAAACTGTTGATCAATAGTGTAGATAATCTGAAAATTAGTATTCTTGTATAAAGAAAAGCCATTCTTATTTGTAACTCTTATTTTTTAACACCAATTGTGAATATTGTCATTTATGTTTATATTTCAAATGATTATTTTTCATATATTTGCTGACTAGAGGGCAATCCAGATTTTTTTTTTTCTCCGTTGATTGAATGTTATTTTTTCTTTTGTTGTCCTGACTGTTTTATGCTTTTGTGTTTTTTAATATTACTTTAAAACTTTTAAAAAATTACTGTATGTCACTTTAGCAAATTGTTTCTCTCAATTTTATTTTTGAGTTTGTTTGACATTCTCATTATCATCCATAACATCATCATTACTGTGATACAGTAAAAAAAAAAAATATTTTAAGTTATAACTGCTACTTTTTATATATTTTTTTATTTAAATTTACACCGTCTATCATGATATACAAAAACCCTTAATGTCATATGACATCATTTTTTCATACTTCCCCAACAGAAAAATATATTTCATTAAAGACATGTATCTCAGATCTTCCCATTAGTTCATGCAAACATGTTTTGATCCAAACGCTTTCTTTTGCAGTCACGTCTGTGGGAAACGCAAAAACAACTCCAGCAACTGCGCAGACAGACGGCCCACATGGAGACGCTGACGGTACCCATGATGCTCGGCGGCATGCACCGGCCGCTGTCCCGCACGCAGTCGTCTCCCGCCTCCACCTCGCTGACGCTGCCGGACAAAACCTTGCCTCTGTCCTCGACCACGGAGCCGTCCCAGAGCCAACCGCGCTTCACCACGGGTACAGCGCCTGCGCCAAACACCCCTCACGCCTCACTCTTCAGCCCTCACTGACTCAAACCCTAATGCCTTAATGTGTGTGTGTGCAGGTCTGGTGTACGACTCCCAGATGCTGAAGCACCAGTGCACGTGCGGAGACAACAGCAGCCACCCTGAGCATGCTGGGAGAATCCAGAGCATCTGGTCCCGCCTGCAGGAGAGGGGCCTCAGGGGCCAGTGCGAGGTATTTACAGTTCCTCTCCTTTCCTAAAGGGGGCGCTGAATAATCCCTCCTATCATTCTAACATCATATTTCCTTCAACTCATCCACTTTAAAGGGACGGTTCAGCCCAAAATGAACAGTCTCTCATCATTCCTTCGCCCTCGTGTGGTTCTTTTCTTCTGGAGGACACTAGAGACACATTTGTCCTGTAAAGCTCCGGGAAGGACCATAAAAGTAGCCCATGTGACGCATCCTAGCCTACATGATTGATTCATGTGAGGAACAGACTGAAGTTTAAGCTGCTATTCGGGGAAACTGGTCTGAATGATTCGTTCACTAATCGGATGGATCCAGTGTCATGAGAAATCTAGTTCTCCCTCGAAATCAGCTCGCCAAGAGAAGCGATCCGATTGGCTCAGTGAACTGGTTTCACAGAGAGGGTTTAGATTAAGCCAAGATTAGACCTTAGTTCAATTACGATAATAAAGTAGCTTTTATGAAAAGAAGACCCCTGGTCATTTAACATTGAGCTCATTTTTTTTGTACATTTGGAGTGCTGTCGGTACAGACAAAAACGACAAAAATCGGTGTTGCCTACACTGTGTTATCCTCTTTTTAAAATTTTCATCTGCTGGAATTGTAAGCAGATTTGCCTGTGACTTCACCAAATTGACTTCAATGGGGCATGTTCTAAACCTGCTTTTAAGGCGGGCATACACTGTGCGATGTCTGTGCGATTTCAGCAAGGTACCTACTCACACTGAACGAGTAAATCGCATGCGATGCAAAGCCAAACTTCAGGATTTATGTGCTCACACTGTACGGTCCGATCGTCGATCGTAATATCTGCGATAACCCCCTGGATTGCGCCTATTTACGTGTATGTATCCAGAGATATTGTCAAAACAAGCATCTACTATCAGTATCAAGATGATTTAGTATTTTCAATTTATGCATTTAATTATTATTATTATTATATTATCATTATTAGGGGAGGCCTATAGGCTAATTTTACTATTAAATTGATCCGCTATTATAATTAATTTGCCACGCAATATTTTCACAGCACATAACCAACGTGCTGTGAGGATAATAAAATATTAATCTTACTCCTCATTAAAAATTGTCTAAAACATTTAGGTCGATTACAATGAATTATATACATATAAAATAACTATTAACAGTCTATAATATGTCCGAACATTGCCATAATTAATCATCAATGAAAATTAAAAACAGGTTTATTTCAAAAACATTGTTTGACAAAATAATAAAAGAGGTGTTACATATCAGGTGGCTTGAAGACGGTGGGTAATATTATCCATTTTGCAACACGAACTGGAGGTAAGCAACAGTAATTTGTAGCTCGTTTTTATTTAAATTTTATTTTTGCTGCAGATGAAATGGTTAAACTTCTGTTTTCGCGCAGGTGCAGTGAGGGAAAAAACACTGAGTTTAGGGCAATCGGTTCGTAGCTTTGCTTCAACTGTGCGATATAGTCACGAGGAGCGACCAAAATTTCTGACATGCCAGAAATTCATCCGACCATCCGATTGTCGATCGTGAGAGGTTAATCGCCTCTCGTTTCTCCCTGTACACTGCACGACAAACGACGCACGACAAAGCTGAAAATCGGTCCGACGCGAAAATGAGTCGCACGAGTCAGAATTCGGCTCAAAATCGGACGAAAATCGCACAGTGTATGCCCGCCTTTAGCCTCTTAACATCCCAGACAGCAAACTGACATTGAATCAACGTGGAAACGACGTCTCCCATGACATCGAAACAACGTTGATCTGGCATTGTTTTGCTCATCGAATTAACGTTGAACCAACGTCAGACGCGGCATTCTTCAAAGCTAAATGAAAATTGGTAATTGGTTTGCAATTGGTTTGCTTTCCTAACGTTGAAACAACGTTGATTTCAAGTTGATTTTCCGTTAGTTTTGAAGAATGACGCGTCTGACGTTGGTTCAACGTTAATTCGATGAGCAAAGCAATGCCAGATCAACGTTGTTTCGATGTCATGTTTCCACGTTGATTCAATGTCAGTTTGCTATCTGGGATCCTTGATTTGTCATTACGAGTGCACAGCCATGTGAGTGGTGTTATTAAGAGTGATCACGGTCAATCTGACTGCAGTGAAAGATATTAATATAAATCGATTGTTGAGTTGACGCGCGCGATCATTGGTAACTAAGCAACAGTGTAGACTCAGACTGTCAGCCTGTGTGGTGTTCTGAGAATATCAGCTCAAATGGACAGTTCATCTGAATCAGATGTTGAACATCATTTAGTTGCAAATGATCGCGCGCGAACTCGACAGTCGACTACCGTGGACTTCGCTCAAAAAGAGGAAGTAAATACAGGTATGTGAGCTGACTGAATTAACATAATTTTTATTAATATCTTTCATATATAGTGCAGTCAGATTGACCGTGGTCACTCTTAATAACACCAATCACATGGCAGTGCACTCGTAATGGCAAATTAAGGATGTTAAGAGGCTAAAAGCAGGTTTAGAACATGCCCCATTGAAGTCAACAGGGTGCGAATTTTAAAAAGAGGATAACACGGTGTAGGCAACACCGATTTTTGTCGTTTTTGTCTGTATTGACAGCACTCCAAATGTACAAAAATAAGCTCAATGTTAAAATTGACTGGAGTTCTCCTTTAACATGCCATAGAAAAAAACATTACCCATGAGCATCTTGACAAAACAACAGCACTTACTTAAAGATATCCCATATTTCAGTTAAAACAGCTCAAACATCATTTCAGTCTGGGATTAGACTTAAGCGACGTCCGTGAAACGGGGAATATATGAATTCGTGAAAAGAATGTATTTAGAAATCTTTGTAAATAACCTCCGAAAGTTGCGACCCCCTCCAACTTGTCTTAAATCCCCAAAGCGGAGTCGTTTCAAGAGTTTGTTGGGTTCTTTCAAATATCAAGCAGTATAACTGAACACTTCAAATCACATTGTGCATTAAAAAAGCAGCGCTATGAAAATACTTTGAATGAATAAATAATGATATTTATTATAGTAAACTGTGGTGTTTTTTTGTGTTTTGATCAGCCAGTCTTTGCAAGAACCTCCATACAATCAGATAAAACCAAAGCCTGTTGTAATAATAAGATCATCATAAGAAAATATTTGAGAACTCGATTTTTTTTTTCTCCAAAGAGCTCAAAATTTTCTTCAGACAGAAAATTTGAATGACTTTTGACCACACTCGTTTGTCCTTTTCGAAGTGTCAGTCCTCATCCACATTCACTGTAATGATAAGGGTAACACTTTACAATAAGGTTCATTAGCTAACATTAGTAAATGCATTAACTAACATAAACTAACGATGAGCAATGCATTAGTTACACTGTTTATTAATCTTTGTTAATGTTAGTTAATACAAATACAGCTGTTCATTGTGCGTTCATGTTAGTTCACAGCGCGTTAACTAATGTTAACTAATACAACCTTTGATTTTAATAAAGTATAAGTAAATGTTGAAATTAGTGTTGTCAAAAAACTCGGTACTTCGGTACCAAGTCGGTACTAAAAAAAAAAAAATGTTACGGTACCAGCTTTTCTAGGTACCGAGTACCAGGTTAATCCAGTTCTGTTCTAGACGCGATGTCTGAAACGTGCACAGTTGCGTCCTCTTTAACGCTGATATGGCTCTCTCTCTCTCTGAAGTCTGAATCCACTTGTTGAAACGAAAGGAGGAAAGAGCCACATATGGAAATATTTTGGATTAGGCTAATGTCACGTTGCCATAAGAGGCCGATTACATGCAAATTCGCAATTTCAAATATAGGCGCGAGGCAAGCGCGCTCATAATAAAAACTCGTTGGCGTTGCATAGCAACGACAGACCCCGCGTGAGAGCAAGCGCTTTGGAAAGAATAAGCATGCGCAAAAATATAATTAAAAAACACGCGCGACATGTGAACGGCCTCTAAAGTGCTTTCGGGGTAGTTTTACGAGTACATGAGCACAGTAGTATCCACCCGACACCAGAGTACTACTGGTTTTAGTATTGTCATTTAATGTCAGTGCCAGTTCTAGGCGTATTCTTGCCTTTATAACTCAGCAGTTTTAAAAAGCCTTTTTAAAATTAAATATGAATGCAGTTTTAGATTAAATAAAAGGACAGTCAAGTCAAATAAAACATGTTTTATGGTAATGCTACAAAGATACCATTCATCAACATTACTTAGTTATCAACACATTGAGTGAACAATATATTTTTACAACATTAATTAATGTTTGTAAATGTTATTTAATAGAAACACTTGATTGTTCATGTTTGTTCACTTAATTCATTGTGCATTAAATAAATAATGGATTAAAACTTTACAAACAACTTTAAAAATGTGTTAGTGTATACTATTGTTTATTTTAGGTCATTTTATCTAATCTTTTTCTAAAGTGTTTATAATAAAAATGTACAGTTTCCATACTTGTAACCGTGATAAACACTTAAATATATGTAGATTTAAACTAAGCTTTGGTACCGAAATTGGTACCGAGAACCGTGAATTTTAACTGGTATTGGTACCGAATACTGAAATTTTGGTACCGTGACAACACTAGTTGAAATTAATATTAACTAAGATTAATAAATGCTGAAGAAGTATTGTTCACATAATGTACATGTTAACTAATGTAGTTAACTAATGTTAACTAATGAACCTTATTGTAAAGTGTTACCATGATAAGAGTTTGAAAGAATTGGGAAAAAAAGGAGGGAAATTCGCCAAAACATCCAGAAACCGCCCTACTTTTAATAACTCCAGTGTCACGACTGTTGACACCATGTTCGCAGCATGACAGTATTTCATCTCGCTCATCATCTTTGCTGTGTTTGCTTCTTCCTCAGAGTATTCGAGGAAGAAAAGCCACCCTTGAAGAGTTACAGTCTGTCCATACGGAGCGACACGTCCTGCTGTACGGCACCAATCCACTGAACCGCCTCAAACTGGACAATCGCAAACTGGCCGGTAACACATCATCCTCACACACACACACACACACACGACTCGGATCTGATAGACATGACTCAGCTGCAGTTCGGCCAGCGCAACACCCCATTTTTTCAAAGCAAAGACACACAGGCACGCCAACACACGAATATAAGCGATTTCTCAAAATTACTAAAGGGTTGGAAATGTCAAACGTCGATTGCGAGAATGACAGTTAATCTGCTTGACGTCACTCTGTGTCCAACAGGCATACTGTCACAGCGGATGTTCGTCATGCTGCCCTGCGGGGGAGTCGGGGTAAGTGAAAACACACACACACACACACTTCAACTTGGTCATAAACCTTCAAGAAACTTGTTCGATCGTAAAAACAGTAGAGTTGATATACTGTACAGATTCGTGATATGTTGCAGCCCTTTGTATTATTTGTTCGTAACTGGGAAAATTAAATTACTATTATTGTGGAAAGTGGAATTATACTGATCTCAGCAGAGAATCTTACAGTATATATATATATATATATTGGCACATACAGTCAGACAGTATTTGTGTACATAAAAGTATGACCCTGAAAAATATGATGTTTTTAGCCAAGTTAGCATGTCATGTTGCTCTTTGAGGGTTATTTAATGGTCCGCGTGTCATTTCACACTGTGTTTGGGCTTGTTTTAATCAGAATCATATATTGTAAGTGAAAATACAGAACATTTTCCTGTAACACTTTATTTCGACGGTCCACTTTAGACATTCTACTCACTACAAGTAACTTTTGCAACTACATGTCAACTAGCGTGTCAAACTAGACTGTCTGCTTAAAGGATTAGTTCACTTTTGAAAAAACTTTTGCTGATAATTTACGCACCCCCATGTCATCCAAGATGTCCATGTCTTTCTTTCCTCAGTCGAAAAGAAATTAAGGTTTTTGATGAAAACATTCCAGGATTTTTCTCCTTATAATGGACTTCAATGGGAACCAGGTCCAACCGAGGTCCAAACGACAGTTATAACAGTTACAGATGCAGCTTCAAATGTCTTTAAACGACACCAGACGATGAATAAGGATCTTATCATGCGAAACGATCGGTTATTTCAAAGCTTATTCCAAAAATGTAACTTTTCTAAGGACAAATGCTAGCCTTGTAATATATTGTGAGGCGCGTTTGCAACGTCACGTAATACGCAATTACGTTCAAAAGGTCACGGGCGACGTAGCCGGAAGTACAGAATCAAAATCGTCCGACATCGTTGTTTTACCTTTTAATTCCTTTTTTGTAAACGGCGTTTGAGTTAGTTTGCACGTTCAACCTATGCGTTCAACTTGTAAACACTCTGACTCTGTACTTCTGGCTACGTCGCCCGTGACCTTTTGAACGTAATTACGTATTACGTGACGTTGCAAATGCGCCTCACAGAATGGAGAAAGGCTAGCATTTGTCCTTAGAAAAGTTACATTTTTGGAATAAGCTTTGAAATAACCGATCGTTTCGCATGATAAGATCCTTATTCATCGTCTGGTGTCGTTTAAAGACATTTGAAGCTGCATCTGTAACTGTTATAACCGTCGTTTGGACCTCGGTTGGACCTGGTTCCCATGGAAGTCCATTATAAGGAGAAAAATCCTGGAATGTTTTCATCAAAAACCTTAATTTCTTTTTGACTGAGGAAAGAAAGACATGGACATCTTGGAATGACATGGGGGTGAGTAAATTATCAGCAAAAGTTTTTTCAAAAGTGAACTAATCCTTTAATAAACACTTTATTGTGATGCTCCTCCAACAGACAATCTACTGACTATAAGTGACTTTGCAACTACATGTCCACTTATTCTACTAACCCTTATTCTGAATTATGTTTTATTACATCATTATCAACCTTATTATCAAGCTATATCATAAATTGAAAGGGTTAAAATGCAAAAACGCTGTTTGTTAGCGGATATCATGACTTTTGCCTTAATAAACTCCTAATTTACTGCTTATTAATAGTTAGTACGTTTTTGGAGCGTTTAAGTTGAACACTAAAATAAAGTGTTTCCTTTCTATTTCCCTAAAATTAAAGGGTTAGTTCACCCAAAAATTAAACGTCTGTCATGGTTTACTCACCCTCGTGTCCAACCCGGTCTCATCCCAAGACGTCATATAACTGACGTTTTGGGACGTCTTTTGACCATACGTCAATATTCGCCTTTTTAGGGCCCCCTTAAACGTCGGTAGATGAGGTTATGGGATCCTAACTCTACCCCATACCTAAACCTAACCCTAAACCTAACCCGTCACCTAACTGACGTTAAAGGTAAAGCGTCAGTTGTATGACGGCCCGGGATCGCCATCTACCGACGTTTAAGGGGGCCCTAAAAAGGCGGATATTGACGTATGGTCAAAATACGCCCCAAGACGTCAGTTATATGACTTTTTGGGATGAGACTGTGTTATCGTGTCAGTTTACACCAATACTACTTTTTCTTTTCTGGAACACAAATGAAGATATTTGGTCACACTTTAGTTTAGCGTCCGATTCTCACTATTAACTATGGCTTTTGCCTTAATAAACTCCTGATTACTGCTTATTAATAGTTAGTAAGGTAGTTGTTAAGTTTAGGTGTTGGGTGATTAAGGGATGTAGAATATGATCATGCAGAATAAGCCATTAATATGTGCTTATAAACAACCTACTAATATCCTAGTAACATGCATACTAATACACTGTAAAAAATAATATGCTTTATCTAATAAAAAAATTGTGTCAACAGATTACAAGCAATATTTTTAATTAAATTTAACAAATTAGAATTAAGTAATAATTAATCAAATTAATTCCTTAAAGTTAACCATTTAAAATGAGTAAAACTTACAACAACAACAAAAAAAGTTTGGTGTAAACTTTACTCATTTTAAATGGTTAACCTTTAAGGAATAATTTGATTAATTATTGCTCAATTCTAATTTGTTAAATTTAATTGTAATCTGTTGCCACAATTATATTGATTAGATAAAGCATATTCATTTTTACAGTGTAAGCAACTTGTTAATAAACTAAAGTGTTACCAGATATTTGTAATATCGTCTTATCATTTTTATCTATTAAAGGTCCACACAACCAAAGTACCAAAAGACATTTCAAAAGTAATTATTGCGACTCAAACTGTTCAATTCAAGGCTTTTATTCACATTGATCAACGCACATCAACTATGGTAGACAGTCTCAACTGTGCTTGCCTAATGCATGGGAATTGGGAACTAACCTCATTGGTTTTTTTTGCATGTCTAGCAAGCACGTTTGAGCTGCCGTTGTCATGTTGATGAACGATCAATGTGAATAAAAGCCTGAATTCAATCCGTTCATCAGATAAATGGAATCTGTCTCTTCAGAAGACTTGGATTAAACCACTCAAATCATGTGGATTAGTTTTATGAGTAATCTCCTTATGAGTGCCAGTTTTGGTGGAATGGATTATGTTAATGGTGGGACAGAAATCTCAGAGATTTCATTAAAAATATCTTAATTTGTGTTTGGAAGATGAACAAGTCTTATGGGTTTGAGGGTGAGTAAATGATGACAGAATCTTTTTGTACATTTTTTTGGTGAAGTTAAGTCAGGGGTGTCCAAACTCAGTCCTGGTGGGCCACTGTCCTGCAGAGTTTAGCTCCAACTTTTCTCAACACACCAGCCTGGAAGTTGCCAGTATGCTGAGTAAGACCTTGATTAACGGGTTCGGGTGTGTTTAATTGGGGTTGGATCTGCAGGACGGTGATCCTTCAGGAGCAGGATTGGACACCCCTGCCGTAGAGTGATTTGAAAGATTAGGTTTAAATGACGAGTGCCACCATTCCCTCGATGCAGACTTCAGCCGAGCCCCCAGTGACGCCTGCTCCACAGAAACCACTGGCCGACAGTCTATATGGCATGTGTGGACTTTGCATATAAGGTCCTGCCAGTCCATTTAACTGTAAAAGCCAGAGAGCACTGATCCCAGCACAGTCGACATTGGGCAGCACCCCTGCTGAAAATTTGGAGAAAATGTTGAAAACTTCACTCCGACGATCAAGCCCAGAGCAGGTCCATGTCGATTGATTGGAACAATATGTGCCATGAAGGATAAAAGAAATTCCAGCCCTCTCATTGTTCACCGTGCCAAACCACAAGCAATGCAAGTTCTGCAAAAAAAAAAAAGGATGAGGGAAAATGAAAGAGAAAAGAGAGAAGGAAGATGTGGGGAGCAGGGCAACAAACAAAAGGGAGAGAGGGGAATGTATAACCTCATTCTTTCTTCTCATGGCCACCCCGTACTCTCGTGCCCCTTATGAATGTGGTTTTATATTAATTTAAAGATGGTCTGTTTACCGAAGCAAACATCACTATTACAACCACTCATACTTAGAGTGAGGGCTTTGTTCAGAGCAACGTTTATGCTATGAACATGAATTATCCTGCACCTTGAACTGATCAGAATTTATGATTTTCGCTTGGACAATGAAATCAAATGCCTTCAGTTCAGATAGTGCCGTCTTATTGGTTTGTGCGGATATCGGTGTGTTTCCCATTTAGATTATAAGCAGCCTGTGTGATTACGAGGGAGGGTTATAATTAGTGGTCGCCGATAATCGGCTTTTTGTCGATACATTTTGTAAGCGGGACTTGTGGCTATCAGTCGACACGAGCGAGCCGCTTTAAACCCTTGGTTTCGAATTCCACTCTATCCTGTTTGTTGCTTTGTTCACTGCATGTGAAGTTAGTGTTACCTCTTTATTTAAGATAATATGATTCCCAGTGGACGCAGATTACTGTTGCTTCTGTTTATTTGTGTTCGTCAGCAACTTATTTATTTGTGAAAGAAATGGTAACAGAATTAAGCAGTTTAAATGTGTTTACAATACAGAAGTCAATTAATTGTCTATTGAAGCGTCTTTCCGCCACAGAATAAAAAAACAAAAAGGGATTGTGACTTTTGGTAACACTTTACAATACGTGTGCCAGAGTTGTAGTACTCGAGACTCGGACTCGTCTCGGACTCGGTCTCGAGACCATATTTTAATGGTCTTGGTCTTGTCATGGACTCGTGTGCATTTGGGCTCGGAATTGACTCGTACTCGAACATTTTTTTTTTTTTAGGACTCGGAATTATTCCAGAGTCCACTCGAGTTCAATTAAAAATATTTTTCATGATTATTAATGTACGTTAATAAAATATTTCTTTAAATTGATTGACACGCCCAGTGATTGGTGATTTTCTAGTGCGCAACTGCACATGACAAATTATAATAAAATTACTTTTAACACCACCTACTATGTGGCCTTTTTACCCTAAACTGATCATATTTTTTAAACTCTAAGTAAATTCAGTAAAAAAAAAAAAAAAAAGGATTTCTCTAAGTAAATAAAAGTAAATTCGGTAATCAACCCTCATGGTCTCGGTCTCGACTCGGACTCGACCGTCTCTGGTCTCGGACTGGACTCGGACTCGACTCTCTATGGACTCGGTCTTGACTCGGACTCGACTCTCTCTGGTCTCGGTCTAGACTCGGACTCGAGTGAGGTGGTCTCGACTACAACACTGACGTGTGCACTAATAAGCATTAATTCATGCTTAACTAATGCACAGATAATACTGAATTAATGTGTAACTAATGATTATTTAAGCTATTCATTAATGATTACCACATTAGGAACTAATTAAGAGTCTGTAATTTCAATGTATTAGTTCATACATGAATTGTTATTAATTAAATATGTAATTGTGGATTAATTCCATAATAACTCATTTTTGTAACTAATAGTGTTAATTACCAGAATGAGCCAAAGCCTTGTATTTCAACTTCCAGGTAATATGACAGGTACACTAATATGCATTAATACATGATTAATTACTTCATTGTTAGTGCAAATTCATTTGCAAATTACTACAATTACTAAATGACTAGTTAATAATGATGTGCCCCATCAAGTAAAGTCATAGCATAATGATACCTTTGCAAATCATTCGCTAATGATTTATTAAAGCAGACAACTGGAAGTTGAAGTGCATAGCTTTGACTAATTGTGATAATTAACACATTAATTTACACTATTAGTTGAGAAAATATGTTATTAAGGAATTAATACACAATGACACATTGAATTAATAGCAATTCATGTATTACTTAATCTATTAATCATATAGACTCTTTATTAGTTGCTGATGCAGTAATCATCAATTAATGGTTTAGTTCTTCATTAGTTCTACATTAACTCATGATTATCTGTGCATTAGTTAAGGATGAATTAATGCACATTAGTCCACCTGTATTGTAAAGTGTTACCTGACTTTTTATCTTTCAATTCTGACCTTTTTTCTTGCAATTGCGAGTTTAGAATGCAATTGCGAGTAATAAAGTCAGATTTGTCGGGAAAAAAGTCGAGTTATAAAGACAGGATTATGAGATTTAAACTTGCAATTCTGTGATAAAAGTCAGTCTTTTTCCTCCAGAATTGAACTTTATTACTCGCAATTGCGAGTTTATATCTCACAATTCTAAATGAGTCAGAATTGTGGGGGGAAAAATCCGAATTTTGAGTTATAAAGACAGAATTGTGAGATGTAAACTCGCAATTGTGAGAAAAAAAGTCAAAATTATTGTATACATTTTTTAATTCCGTGGCAGAAACAAGCTTAGGCCCCGTCCACACTACTGCGTTTTCGTTTAAAAACGGAAAATTAAAACGAATACGATCTCCGTCCACACCAGCGTTTTATCTGCATATTAGAATTGATCTCCGTCCACATTAAAACGACTGAAACGTGGATCACGTGACCATTCACCAACACTGGGCATGCGCGTGCCGGTGTAAACAGTGGTTGACGAATCAGGGAAGTATACGTCATGACTTATGACACCCAATCATAAAGCCGAGCGTCAGCCTTTGTGTCATCGTTTCTAAACTCCTCCGTTTTGTCCTGTCTACACTAAAACGTAAAACGGAGCTGCAGCGTTTCTAAACTTCTCCGTTTTAGGTCTTCGTTTTTTTCCGTTTTAGTCTGGACGGGAGGTGCAAACGTAGCAAAAGGTCTTCGTTTTTAAACGAAAACGCAGTAGTGTGGACTGTGGACGGGGCCTTAGTTGTCAGTTGATTAATTTATCAAATTTATTTCAAATTTTCTTAGTAAATATTATGTAAAATAAAACGTGTGTCTGGACGTTTCGCACAGACAACTAGCTGAACGACTATGGTTGATCTGGCTCAAAATATCTGGCATTTTCATCCTCCAATATGATAATACGTGTAATCTGCAAGCCGGCGCAGTTAAAGGGTTAGTTCACCCAAAAATGAAAATTCTGTCAGTATTTACTCACCCTCATGTTGTTTCAACCCCGTAAGACCTTCGTTCATCTTCGGAACACAAATTAAGATATTTAAGAAATTAAGATCGCTCCTGCATACAGTCCATAGGCTTCTTGAGGGACTGGCTCTTGCTGTCCCCGAAAAGTCATTAAAGACATCGTTAAAATAGTCCAAGTGACTACAGGGGCTCAATCTTAAGTTTATCAAACGACGAGAACACTTTTGTGCGCAAAAAAACAACAAAAATAACGACTTTATTTCAACTATTCACTTCCTTCTCCATGAGCCTGTAAGTCAGTTAACGTAGTGTGATTGCGTAGAGCTACGTCACACGTAGGCTCACTATTGGCCGACGCTGGTCATGTGTGTGTGATGCGTGTGACGTACAATAACAGAAGCTTACGCTATTAAACTAGTAACCTGACTCGCGCAGAGGGAGAAATAAACGAATAGTTGAAATAAAGTCGTTATTTTTGTTGTTTTTTTGCGCACAAAAGTGTTCTCGTCGTTTGATAAAGTTAAGATTGAGCCCCTGTAGTCACTTGGACTATTTTAACGATGTCTTTAATGACTTTTCGAGGACAGCAAGAGCCAGTCCCTCAAGAAGCCTATGGACTAGTATGCAGGAGCGATCTTAATATCTTAAATATCTTAATTTGTGTTCCGAAGATGAACGAAGGTCTTACGGGGTTGGAACAACATGAGGGTGAGTAAATACTGACAGAATTTTCATTTTTGGGTGAACTAACCCTTTAAGTGATGAGAGACCGTGTTTATGGCAATATGGAGACCACACAAAGAATATTTAAACATGCCATTAGTATGACGCATAACAGGAAATCTATTTATAGTGTTGGTCATTCCAGCCGCTTTCTTTTAGTGTATTCTTGAAATGTAGTTTACGTTCGGTAATTTGTAACACACACTACGCCTTGTGGATGCTTACAACCAAAATAAGCATCTAAATACTTTTCCGAGCATGAGTGATCTTTATACAAATATGGTCGGGTAAACATATTTGGTCATAAATCTCCAGCGTTCACATTTGTGTGAAAGCATACAGCTGCTTGTACGCTCATCTGTTATTTGAATAGGATTAGGGTCAGTTTATTGATTGGTTTAAATTGGAGAATTAAAGATGAGATCATTCAAATTAAGTTCAGTCTTGTTGTCTGCAGTTGTTGTTGACTGTCACGTCAGTTTAACGGGTGGACGTTTGCCGTAAGTGCCCGACATGTGACGCTGGCATGGTGCAGACGTGCCCTCCGCTTGAACCGCTGTTTGCGGCTTTGCAGATTTATGAACGCTGATCACGGCTGTCATAATGATAAATGTGCTCGTGTACGCCAAGACAATTCAGCTACATCATTTTATTCTGGCAGAATGGGTGACTGACATAGATTATGTGTCATGTACGTGAGCCAGGGCTTGGGTGGAGGCGCAAACTGTGAAACCGTCTCAAAATCAAGTGTTAACTTCGGGTTTACATGCACATAAATCACTGAGCCAAGCGGTTCTGTTTATGAGCAGAGTTACTCCTAAGTGGGGTAAATATGTGAATCAACAGGTTTTTAGCCCTCACCAGAGCTCTTTGCTTGTTTTCGGACAGGTGGACAACGACACTATCTGGAACGAGATGCACACCTCCACAGCGTCCCGCATGGCGGCCGGGAGCGTGACCGAGCTGGCCTTCAGAGTGGCCAAAGGAGAGCTCAAGGTCTGTTCAGGACAATTTACACTGACCGCTGATTTTAAACGTGTGTTTAGTTTGTAGGTCAGCCACACGTACGACTTTTTTAAGGTGTGTGCCAACATCTTCACTGTTTAGATATCCGGCTCAGAAACAGCAAATTCTGATGGTACTTGTTTGGCAACATTAACACCCGCCAAAAGTGTGTATTTCAGCTGTGGCGTGTAACGCACTTGAATTTTATCTATAATATATACATTTTTCAATTGTAGTCTTTTAAAAAAGGCATCTGAAATAATAAACTAGGTGAAATGTAGTGTTGTCAAAAATATCAATTTTACTGAAATATCTAAAACCTTTCCAATAGAATAGATACACGCTCTCTAATCTCTCCGGCACACAAACCCGCCTCCACTCACTCATTTCATTTGCTCCGAATGAAAATTGTTGATAATTTTACTCATTCCGGCAGATTTTGCACTCACACCCTAACAGCCGCCTCTCAGCACTAAATTTAGTTGTTTTTTTGCTGCTTATTGCGCTCAATAAGCAGTCAAATACACAAAATAATGTCAAAATGGTCTTGGTCAGTATGTGTCAATGATGTTTTAAGTGAACGTAAAAAGTTGAGAGAGAAAATGAATGTGTAACAGAATAATGGATCTGTGCGTCAGGTCTTAAAGTGACAGCAGCCTAATAAACCTACTGACAAATTATGAGATAACGTTAAAAATAACATTAAAAATAACGTTTTTCCCCACGGTATCGACGTCAAAACTGTGGCCAGTGGAAATGCTGAGCGGCTCGTAACTTTGGAAAACCACTAGACACTGGCTGGAGAGTCCTGTAGAACTGAAACAAACCTGGAGCTACTATAAAAATATGCATATGTTAAAGAAGCTATAAATAATTTAGAGTACTTTAACTAGACCCTTATTAAATAAAGTCACCAAGTTAATAAGTTAAAATCACAAGTTTTTTATGTGAATATATTTGTATTTTTAGCATCATTACTCCAGTCTTCAATGTCACATAATCCTTCAGAAATCATTCTAATATGATGATCTGATGCCTAAGAAACATTTCTGATTATTATCAATGTTGAAATCAGTTGTGCTGCTAAATGTGTTTGCGGAAACCATGTTTTTCTCTGGATTCTTTGATGAATAGAAACCATTTATTTGAAATAGAAACATTTTGAATCATTATAAATCTCTTTTGATCAATGCAATGCATCCTGCGATGGATTATCACAATTAATACCATTTCCTTGATGAATAGAAGTGTTATTTCTTTAAAAAAAAAAATCTGAGGCAAAACGTTTAAACATTAGTGTACACTACACTAAAACGTTTTTGGAAAAGTAGTTTGTTAATATTTTGATTCACTACTTTGTATAAAGTTCTCGTTGCATCAGGGTTGTCATCTTGTAATTATGGTACATCTGAGATTATGCTCTGAGATACTCACTTCCTTAAAGCTCCACGGCGAAACACTTCACATTAATTAACCTCTCACAAAGTATTGAACAACAAAGAAATCACAAGTAATCACAATTACAAGTAACACTGGCGATAATCAACAGAAATATGTGTAATGTGTAAAAACTTTAACTTTGCTACTGGCATTTTTGTAAAAGATTACATGAAATTCCTCTCGTGTTCAATTCCTACATCTTGTGTGCATCGTGCGTGTCAACCAATCAGAATCAAGTCCTCGTTTCCTTTCAGAGAGCCTTTGCAATTACCGTCCCTTCAAATAAAAATGAACCAAGTAGCAAACCGAACTGATTAAGACGTGGAAAACTGTAACGAACATGAGGGAACGGTTCAATCACTCGAGTCCCCGGCTGGTGATTAAACTTAATGAAGGTTATAGGGGATGTTTCAGGGAAATGGCTTTATTGCTTTAACTGAAAGTGGTGGCCCGTTTGTGAAAGCATCGTTTGGTAAATGCACAGTTAATGACATGTTGGTTTCAATGTTTCAGAACGGCTTTGCTGTGGTTAGGCCACCGGGACATCACGCAGACCCGTCAAACCCCATGTGAGTCTGGCCGTTCCATACAGAAACCTCTCTGTCTGCATTGCTTGAGTTTCTTTAATGTCGGTATGAAACGGAAGTTGCGATATTTTTACTTCTCTATTGTGACATATATGCAAGTGAAAAGGATTCTCCAATAGGAAAAAATGTAGGACGGGGCTTGATTTTTGTCTATGGGGAATTGATTGGATGGTTGTGGTTTGCTATTGGTGGATCTTGTGTGAGTGACAGGTTATAGTCCCGCCCCCTTATTTTCATCAAATTAAATTACATGTGCACATAAATTAAAAAATAACTTGCACAAATTAATCGTCTATAATAGTGCTGGCCAATGATTAATCGCGATTAATCACATCCAATATATAAGTTTATTTTGTGCTGCTTACATAATATATCTTTGTACTGTGTATAATTATTTTGTAATTATAAAAACATGCATGCATGTATATATTTAAGAAAAATGTGTTATTTATATATATAATATTTATATTTAATATGTATAAATATAGGGCTGTCAAACGATTAATCGTGATTAATCACATCCAAAATAAAAGTTTGTGTTTACATAATATATGTTGGTGCACTGTGTATAATTATTTTTTATATACAGTATAAATACAAACACATGCTTGTATATATTTAGGAAATATTTTCATGTGTATACTGTATATAGATTTATATATAATTTACAATATATATAAATATTTTATATATAAATAATATGTTTTTCTTAAATACACATGCATGCATGTGTATTTATATATATATATATATATATACAAAATAATTATACACAGTGCACCCACATATATTATGTAAACACAAAATGTAATTTTGGATGCCATTAATCGCAATTAATCGTTTGACAGCCGTAGTACAGGCAATATATATATATATATATATATATAAATATTTTATATATAAGTAATATTTTTTTCTTAAATACACATGCATGCGTGTGTATTTATATATATATATATATATATATACAAAATAATTTTACACAGTGCACCCACATATATTATGTAAACACAAAATGTAATTTTGGATGCGATTAATCGCAATTAATCGTTTGACAACCCTAGTACAGGATATATATATATATGCATATGTGTGTATTTATACATACAAAATAATTAAATAATTATACACAGTACACACACACACATATATATATTATGTATGCGCAAACTGTTATTTTGAATATTACTGTTATTTTGAAATACTGCTATATCCCATTAAAAACATACGAATAGTCAGTTTTGATTTAATGTGTCCATAGGTTAAAATCTGGCTTGTGTCGTTTTCTTTCGTCTGCTTTCCACCGTCTTACTATTTAAAGTTCTTCACATGCATATTAATAATAATAAGTATACTCGTGCAGTATGTGGTGCACGTGAGTTTGGGTCTGTTTACTGTGGTCATGAGTGAAATGCTTCTTCCTGTACATGTGTGTTGATGGCATGTTTGGAGTGTTGTGTTTGTCTGTCGTGGGCGGTGTGTTCGCACATGTGCACTCTGTCACCTCGCGTTCGGCGTGTGTGTTGCAGCGTCAGCACGCCTGTCTGTGTGTGTGTGTATATTTATGGCTTGATAATGAAGCTTTGGAGGGAGCGGGAGGAAAGGCGCTGATTTATTTCAGCAGTTATTAGCATGCTGAGTTGGCTCTTTCACAAACTTCTCAGCGTTTCACCTCGCTCCCTTACTTCCCAGTGCATATCTAATCATCTGCTTGAAGTTTCCACGTTTATTATTTGTGTATATGTGCATATTTAAATGCTTTTAGATGACCTATTGCTTCTCAATGGTTTTTCTGTTATGATAAAACTGAGTTCAGTTGCGAGAGGAAATTTGTTTGCGTATTACTACAGTTTTGTTGTTCCAATATTCCAATAATTGTTGGCATTTATTTTGGGAGACCTCACTTTGTCTCTCTCTCTCTCAGGGGTTTTTGTTTCTTCAACTCTGTGGCGATCGCTGCCAAGCAGCTCCAGCAGAAACTCAGTGCCAGTAAAATACTCATCGTCGACTGGGTGAGAGCTCATTCAGCGAATGCTAATTATTATATTCATGTTATGTCAAATAACTGATATGATGGCTGATATTGGAAATCTATACTAATATATCTATAGTATCCCTATTATGCGAATTAAGTTCAGGCATCACAACATTGTAATGTACAGGATGAACATAAAGAAATTACATGATCAATAAGTTAAAGGGATAGTTCACTTTGAAATTCATTTTTGATATGCTTTAGCTTACCTCAAGGGGATCCAAAATGTAGGTGTCTTTGTTTCCACAGTATTTTCAATTTTGAAAATTTTCAGTCAAACCGTTGTTATCTATCAGTCATACACTGGAGGCTAAGGGGGTCCACCAAAAAGCATGTACAGAGAAGTCCAAATTAAACACGATTTAATGACTCGTAAATGTAAGTACACATTGATGGCCTAAGACACGAAACAAGCGGTTTGTGTGAGAAAACCAACAGTATTTATAACGTTTTTACCTCGTGTAATCACAGTGACGTCCAAGTGATCTGAATCAGTTGTGCAATGTCCAAATGAACCGAAATGAATAAGTTCAATGTTACGGCGGAAGTGATCGCTTGCGTGTGACGTCACTCAATATTTACACGGAGATTTGGGAAGTTTTACCTTTCACTAAACATATTTAGATATACCGAAATCGTCTTCCATTGCGGTTTCCCGTATATCTAAATATGTTTAGTGAAAGGTAAAACTTCCGAAATCTCTGTATAAACAAAGAGTGACGTCGGCGCGCAAGCGATCACTTCCGGCGCATGTGCAGACTGAAGCGCCCGTGCCGTCAGATCATTTTGTCATGGCTATTATTACAAGAGGTAAAAACGATATAAATAGTGTTCGTTTTCTCACACAAACCGCTCGTTTCGTGTCTTAGGCCATCAATGTGTACTTACATTTACGAGTCATTGAATCATGTTTAATTTTGACTTCTCTGTGCATGCTCTTTGGTGGACCCCCTAAACCTGCATTATATGACTGATAGACAACAACGGTTTGACCGAAAAAATGTCAAAATTGAAAATACTGTGGAAACAAAGACGCCTACATCTTGGATGCCCTTGAGGTAAGCTAAAACATATCAAAATTTAATTTCAAAGTGAACTATCCCTTTAAGACAACATATGTTTTTACATGACTTTAACCCATCAAATAAGTTAAGCAAATTTTATAAGTTATACAAGATTCAACTAATTTTTAAGTCAGTTTAATGTAATTTAAATAGAACTTAAACATCTAAGTTAATTGTTCTTCAAAAATGTAGGGCAGCAACTTTTTTTTACAGTGATGGTTATCAGTGCTAGTTTATTACTGCGAACATTCTACAAAACCTAATTGAAAATATAGTTTTCAAATTAATAATATGAACTGATTTCCACCTGATTTCCACTTTTAAACAATGTAGTTAACAGAGAGAATGACTTCAGTTTATCAATCTTTCAATGAAATCAGTTCCAGATTTTGATATTTTTGGGGGCCAAAACAAAGGTACCGCTAATGTTAACTAAACAGCAACCAAAATTCAAATGAAAGAAAATAAAATGCTAACAAATTAAAGGAAATGTCAAAGTTTGTTTGACTTTGTGCGCTGAATTTAAACGATTGTTATCCCGATTATTTTTCGTCATCAATCGTTCAGGACGTTCACCATGGCAACGGCACCCAGGAAATCTTCTACAATGACCCCAGCGTCCTCTACATCTCCCTCCATCGCTACGACAATGGAAACTTCTTCCCCGGAAGTGGTGGGCCGGCAGAGGTCAGTAAACAAAGATCACTGATTACCACAAGAGCAAATACTCCCTGGTTGATATTCTTATGCATGCTGTAATTCACTTTAGGCTCACAGAACCATCATTGACTCAATTGCGTCACAATTACGTTCCAGAGCAGAAAAAGTTGCATCATGGCCTTTAGCACACAAGGATCAGAGAGAATGGAGCGTTTTCAGTGTTTAACAGCAGTGGTGTCTGTGTTTGATTGGTCCCAGGTGGGTTCTGGTGCCGGTGAGGGTTTCAACGTTAATGTGGCGTGGACCGGTGGACTGGATCCTCCCATGGGTGACGCAGAGTACCTGGCTGCCTTCAGGTGATACTTTCACTTCATTCTTTTATATTCTCAGGGGAATACCTCAAAAAGGACAGTATTTCCTGGAGATGTTTTTATTTAAAGTCCGCCTGTGGTGAAAATCAAGCTTATAATTAGAGGTCGACCGATATTGGATTTTACCGATAACGATAGCTAGGTTGGGCTGTACTTGCCGATAACCGATTAATCAACCGATAGTTTTTAAAATTGATACTGGATAAAAACAAACATAACACTCCAAGTAAAACAGTGCTGAACTTTATTATAAAAATACAAAAAACTGTATGAACCATGAAAACATGTGAATAAAAGGCATTCTTTCAAACAAACAAAAAATAATACTCTAAATAACAAATTAAACATGCCAAATGTAACTGTTTAACTGTTCTTTTTCAAGCCAACCTAATGAATAAAAAAGACGTTTCAAATAATAACAAAATTTGCCATCTGAAAATAATTGAAACATTAAAATATGTCAAATGTGTGTTTCTTTAGCTATAACATGTTGCAAGTCCAATTTGTTAACAATGATTTATTAGCTAGTTTACATGAACTATGTGCATTATGCAATATAAATGTTTACAGCATTAATATTTGAGCAATACAATTTCACCTTGATCATTCATGTTAGTCCATAGAGTTTTAACTATGGTTAACAAATAAAAACCTTAATTTAAAAATGTAGTATGTTAATTAACACACAATGAACAGCAGTTATTAACCTTAGTTAATGTTAATTAATGTGTTAACCAGCGACTGGCAAGTTCGGGGCTTTATTAGGCTACTGTCGGTGGTTCGGGGGGCTCCACTATGCGCTGCTCTGTCTATTATTGGTCCAACCTAATAAAAACGCCAACGGTCCGTGAAGCATAGCCTATATGAGTTGCGTATTTTAGTTCCACTTTCATTTTGTTTGTATTCGCTGCTAGGTAACGTGTCGATAGATCGCTTATTGCTCAGACGCACATCAGGTTGTGATTTGTCTCCGTCTCACTCCGTCTCTCATGTTCCCATAGACGTTTAATCGCGCTATTCTTGTCACGGATTCATTGACGCGTCCCTTCTAACGTGTGGCAAATTTACCGGTCGCACATGTGCGACTGGATGTAAAATTAAGTCGCACACTCTCAAATTTTGGTCGCAGTCTGGAGCCCTGTATTTTATAGAACTTAATGAATATTTAATAAAAAATAAATATGTATTAAAGTGATGGTGAAAAAAGAACCGAAATCGAATGCTTTTCTGATTCGTTTGTTTTTGTCGGCTGTATGAACATATCAGTTTGCTACCATACGTCTCTAGCTTATATGCAACGTCGCTGCATAATGAATGCATCAAAGTGACCAGCTGGATATAAACTAATGCAAATAGATGGTAACAATTTGTGACATTAAACATTCGGGTCGGACTTAGGTGTATTTTTGTGTCAGTGTTTTAACCGCTTGAGGTACTACTAATGTGTGTCCTCTCAGCCACTCTCGAAAGCAAACAAACATATTGTTGTGCGGTTCTTTCTCTACTAATGCAGCATTTAGTCAACAAATTCATCCGTTTATAATGATATGACAAAATTCCCTGTACCTTTTCGCTGTCCGTGCTTTAGCTCTCAGTGCAGCGCGCAGTGTCACGTGTCGAAATAAACAACACGAGGCATCAGTTGATAGTTTTTATGACACCTCTAGAGGCCGCTCTTGTACTGCATGATGCCAGCAGACCCTTCTCAGCTCTCTCGTACTGTGTAATGAATGACAGCGCGCACTCAGCCGCCCCAGCAACGGACGAAACCAGGTAATAACTATCGGTGCGGATTTTTGCCGATAACGATAGTTCCACCAATCAACTATCGGTGCCGATTAATCGGCAAATCCGATGAATCGGTCGACCTCTACTTATAATGTAGTTCAGGGTTACCCAAACTCGGTCCTGGAGGGCCACTGTCCCTGTATAGACGAATCCGACGAGCGTTCTTGTGTAGGCTGCCATCTTGTGGCGACGCCATTACTGAGCTGTTACACCGGCATAGACATATGCACCGGTATGTAAACAAACCTCGGAGATAAGGTGATAACGCACCCTTGATGACAGCTACAGCCAGGCAGACTTGTTGGGTTGATGATGTTAGACATTGGCCTCCAGTCACAGATGAAGGTACAAACGATCTTACAGATTATTTATGAAAATAGCTTGGCAAGCAAGCTAGGCTAACGTTTGCTACCGAGGAAACTAAAAAAGATCTGTCCATTTGGCAACAATAAATAAATAAATAAATGAAATCAAATAAACAATTTCATGTTTTTCATTTGTGTCCATTATTTATCTCATTTTCACATTGCAACGGGCAAGGGTAAGGTAACGTTACAGCTAGAAAGTATACAGTATCGACCAATTGGTGTTTTTAAACCATGGAAAGAGGTCAATATAACAGCAGGAGAACAATAATGTCACATAACGTTACATTTAGCTCAGGAAAGCCATTTAATGACCATAGCATGTTAATTGAATAGAAAAAATAACAAGAGAGGAGATTTTGCTGATCACTATATCACACATTTATTATATTTTTTTACTTATGTCATTAAATAATTGTTATTATACGCGAATGTCCGCGTCTTGTACTCGCCCAGGAAATCTGTGTAAACCGTACGGCACCAGACAGGGGCAGTCGACCCGGGGTATTCACAGTGTTTTCTCTTCAAAATTGAAATTTTACTGCCACCATTGAAACAATTTATAATGGAAACTGTTTACCCACTCGACATTATACAAGGGGTAACGTTGTAACGTTAGTGACAGTCGTAAATCGCGGGCTGTTTATTCCAGTGGACGCAAGTTGCAACTAAAACAATAGGAGGCAATGGCGCAACGCTACCCAGCAACAGCTCAGTAATGGCGCCCGCTTACTTCCGGTAGTTTCGCCGGATTCGTCTATAGTTTAGCTCCAACCCTCATCAAACACACCTGAGCAAGCTAATCAAGGTCTTCAGGATCAGTAGAAACTCACAGGTAGGCGTGTTTGATCAGGGTTGGAGCTAAACTCTGCAGGGACAGTGGCCCTCCAGGACCGAGTTTGGGGAACCCTAATGTAGTTTATATGTCTATGTGGTGTTTTTTAATATTATTTAAGATAAACCATGTGCAAATGCATACACGTATTTTCTCCTTTAAACTGAACCAAAGACAGTCTCAAAAATGTGGTTTGAAATCGCTGGTGTTTCTGACATCACAAACTACCTTTTAACCAATCAGATCACCGTGTGATCGTCTCTGAGCTGGTGTGAGTGAGTGAATGAGTGAAGGCGGGGCTCATTTGCATATTCATAGAGCTGCACACACTTAATGAGGCAAGGGTGTAGAGTTGCATTCAAGCTATTATAAGGCATGATGAATTTTTTATGTAATTTTGAAGATCAAAGATGGGTTTTAGGGGATAAAATGATTGACTGCAGGGGAACTTTAAACCATGCCATATTTGAAATTATGGATAAGTTTTCACATAATTAAATTCATTCGGACATTGTAAGACACCATGATTATTTAATGTGATATATTTCCTGGCTAGGAAATATATTCAGGGTTAGGGGACAGAGCTGTAGCAACATACTAAATTACTGAAAAATATTTGATTAAACGGCAAAAAATGTATTTCTGTTTTGGCCAAAATATGTGTAATTAGCATATTTTGACCACATCTGCATCTATTTCGTGCACACAATGTGGATACGGTACAACATGTCAGCAGTGTGAACGCATGTCGAATGTATAGTATGTGAAAAACACTAGGCGAAAATTACCCGTATCACCTACGATTCTGAAGTGTGCATACGATGGACGAGGGAGAGGATTTGTGAAATTAAAACGGCGTAATGGTGCTCTAAGTCACATGACAATGACAGCATGGAGAATGCAGTACGTCTGGATTACATTCATACAATATAGAACAAAGTTTTTTAATGACCACAAAGTAAGTTTAGTACCTACTCAGTATGCGATTTTCCAACTGTCTTTGGAGTAAGCAGGTGTTGTGTGAAGTGAACTACTTTTCTGTATGTCTTGTTAAGCCTTTACATGGTCCGTTCATCATCAGGTCAGAGTTCAGGAGGAAGTGTTTGACCTTCCATCATCAGTTTTGCCAAGAACCAGGTGCTCTTCCTATGGGCGTCCTTCATATCACATTGGTTTCTCTACCTTGTTCATGTGCACTAGTATTTGCAATGAGATCTTTGAGATTTTATCAAGAGGACGGATCATGTTGCGGACACTTTAAACAGGACTGTCCCCTTCTTTGCAACTGCCAACCTGTATCACTCAAGGTGTTTATTGTAGTCTGAAACACTTGCAGGCCTTCAAATGATTCCCAGCTTTTTCATTGCGCTGGGATCAAACTCAAGCTTGGCCACTTCCACATGCAACTTAATTGCCGCCGGTGGGTGGTTTTATTAAAAGTTTTTTCGCATTTTTGAAGGAAGCCTGCTTCAGGTTTTTGGTTTTAGTCCAGGGAGGCATTGCTAACCACACGCTAACCAGGATCCCTGCGTGAAAGTGGGTGGGCGTCTCAAAAGACCTTTAAGATCTTCAGGACTGAACGCTTTGCCTCTAAGCAGCCCGTCTCTCCTTGACTTCCTGTGTCTTGTACACTCTTTCTCGTCCTTTTATTGGTCTTTAATGAATGCTGCGCTCTCTCTCTCTCTTTCCCTCCACCCAAACTAAAATTGTTCCTCTCCACACAGGGGAGCGTGGGTAGTTTTATTGGTCTAGAGGGGAGGCGGAGTTGGTAACAACGGTGAGGGTAGGCGGAGAGGGGGGGGAGTAGTGGAGGATCCTGGGTAATTAAGGCAAATGGCTCCCAGATGCCGGGCTGTCAGTGACGTGAGGAGAACGACAAGCTTCAAATGGGAACCAGATGCAGCGGCGGTCGCTTTGAACTCGCCGGTGATGCGCTCAAGAGGCGAAATCGCTGGCAGGGCTGGCGTCCTCCAAGCGCAAGAAAGAGGGAGACGAGG